CCCTCAGTAAGGGGGGGCAGTGGGCGGGGGCGGAGGGGGGAGCAGGGCCCCTGTTCTGCCTCACTGCTGGGTGCATGACAGAGAGCAAGCAAAAGGGGAGTTTCTTACCCCCCAGTGGGCAGTTAAGAGCACCAGGCGCTTCTGGAAGTTTAATATCCCAACTATCAGTAAAGTGCTGACTCAGCTCTAAGGGGCCATGAATCAGGCCCATGCTTCAGAAACCCTCCAATTATCTGCATTTCTCTGACCTCGGTTAGACACTCTTAAATGTGAACCTCTGCTTGAAGCACAGGCGGTGCATCAAAAAAAAATATTGCGTGTTTTGGAATCCACCCTGTTATTTTACCCAAAATGCAACTCTCTTACGTTTCCATATTTTTAGGTGTGTCCATTTTGTTTTGATGAAGTTGTATGTGCTTGACCCTGAGATGTGTAAGGTCGTGTGTGTTTGTATATTAAACAGTGACTAGTTGTATATCAGGTGTAAAGACGTTTAAACAGGACGGTTAGAAAATTGGCCAATTTGAAGCGTATAATTAGATCCAGCATCTCGCCACCTTCATTACTCATTCATCGGCAGTTTATTTGGTGTCTGTATCGCAAATGGCTGAAAGCTGCCATAATAGTATCGGTTTTGGTCGTGTACCTCTTTGCTTTAAACACATCGAATTGCCTGGGGCAGATCAGCTTTTTAAGCAAAGGTCACTGGAACATTCATTGATTTAGCATTTTAATTTTATTTGTGTGCGTCTCCGAAGGGGACTGGCATTAAGCGTGTTAAAGCTCTTTGTTTTGTAAGAGGCTGTGAATGTCTGGGAGTCTGCGGAGAATCGGACAGCCAGCGCCTCGCTAATAAGTGTGAGATCCAGTCCAGACAGCCCCCGCTGCCTCAGTAATCGCCACTAACACTTATTACCGTCCCAGAGATTGGAAATCTATGTGTTGTCATTGAGGTGATTCTTCCTGCTCTGGGGTAGTTTAAGGAAGGACGTGGACAGGCCTCCCAGGTGTCCGGCTCACTGGCCTCCCAGGTGGCTTTGGGGGTGAGTCTCCTGGCTGGGTGATGTTCAGAAGAATCGCTGGATTGGAGGTGGTGCAGTTGGGGTTTGGCTGAGGAGACGAGGGATCACCTGATCTCGCCTCACTGTCCGCCGACACTCTGCCTTTGTGACCCCCAGTCTGGTGTTTTGCTTCCCCGAGCCCCCGCTGGAGTCGTCTCAGAACTCAGGCCTGGCACGGCCGCGCTTTCCTGGGGCGTGACTCCGTCACACGGAGTGAAAATGTCGGTAGGCGTGAGAAGCATTCATGGTGGAGAAGATGGAGGCAGGTTTGTTGTAGAACATGCCTGAACCTTCAGCCGGTGCGACAGCACTGCTAGAACTTTCCCCTCTTCTTCAGTGTCATCATTACACCCTTAAACAGTTTTAAGTGTTATTTTCACGTGTATCTAGAGAACACAGTGAGATTCTCCTGCCCCAGTTGTGGGATGTATGGGGAGGACTGGACAAATAAAAGTGCAAGACAAGACAGTACAATCGAAGAATTCATCTAGGAAGATAAGCAATACCAAACGATAGATATGGCATTCCAAAGGATTAGGGGGTAAAGTCATCAGTCGTGTAAGACTTGGCGCCCCTACGAATTCACGAAAACACATGTGACTCACGATCCGTCTTTCCTGCCCGACTTCATGGCTGGTGACCGGCGCCGAACAACCTCAAGGATTTCCGTGCTGCGGCAGAGAGTCAGCAGCGACTGCCACGGATCTGTGCCTCGCTCGGACCATCTAATCATCGCCCGTGGCCTTATTTGTTATTATTAATATCTATCGTCGTTAATATTGTGGGTTCTGTGATCCATTCGTTAGCCTTTGAGGTCCGTCCGGACCCAAACACCGCCCTCCCCCTCGGGGTGACTTTGAGCAGCGGAGAATTCCACCGCTGAGCCGCGCGCGTCCACCAGACTATGCAGATAGATCCCAGATAAAGTTCTCATTAGCCCGTACGGCGCTGAGACCGCTGTCATTAAGGCGATTATTTTTATTTATTTATTTTATCTATTTATTCCAGCTCAAGGACGTGAGTGCAACACTGCCCCCCCCAGGTTGATTCTGGAAATGGCGCTGCTAGCTGCCGTTCCCCTCCCTCGAATTGCATAGAGCAGAAAGCGAGGTGGGGGTATGGAACAGGGAGTCCTTTTCCAGGGATGGTTGGCGGATGGGGGGGGTTAACCCCCCCCCCCCCCCCGCCATGGGCCCCCTCTTCCCCTCGCCGCCACCCCCGGGCGCCCCACCGCCGCCCCTCTCCACAGCAGTGAGAAATTGCTCCTGACAGCTGATTTGTTGGTTGTCAGAGGCAGTCCGCGCGCTACTGATAAGGCCGGGGTGGCCCGCGATGGAAAGCGAACACCTTCCCGCGGTTCCAAATGCGGGCTGTCGCGCCGCGGCCCGGGAGACACATGTAGATGTCTCTCTCTCCGGAAGCCTCTGGGAAAAAACGTGCCGCCCGGAGGACGCCTCACAGAGACCGGCGCTTGCATTTTAACACGCCTTACCTGCGAGGAAATATTCCAATCCTTCGGAGTGACTTGGAAAAAAATAAATACCCCAGTGAAGGATTATTTAAAAGAAAAAAAAAAAATCAATAAATATCTCCCTTCTAATGTCCTTCTTTCAGAATTTAATGGATGTGCAATTCATATTGAATTACCAGGTGAATCATTTAATAAAGATGATTTTACTGGCATTTATTCCTATTAACTTGAACCCAAAAGAATAAGCAGGGGAAAAAAAACGGCCCAAATCATCAGACCGGATTGGAAGCGGTGACATCTTTTTTGATTACCGCCACAGCGGGCCTCTCCGCGGTGTTTAGCAGCAGGAAGGAGGGTGTATATAAGGAAGAGCTGTGTCTCGTCTGGGACCAGGCCGAGTCCGCCTCAGGGGGACAGCCGGGTCCGGCGGGTCCAGCGGGGCCAGGAACGGCGGCCAGCGAGCGTCTTTCCATCCTTGGCTAGTGTCCAGCTCGCGAAGAGTGGGGAGGGGTGTAGTTAACTCCCCCCCCCACCCCAGAAGCAAAGCCCCCTACAGGATGTCCTAATGGGGTCGTTTAGGAAGCCATTTCGGGTCGAGAGCGAGGTCGCTTGGCTGGGCCCTCGCAGCTTCTGAGTTGCCAATTTTACTGCCGCCCCCATGCGCAGTGGGGTCGCGAACCCCCCCCCTCGAGGGGGCCGGACCGCCGGGCCGTCCAGCCTTGGCGAATCACGGCACTAATCCCTGTACTGCGTGCTAAGCTAGTGGTCTCTGGTCCAGAACGAGGTGCATCGTACCGTATAATAAGTTTGGGTGCATGGTGGCACTGCGTGGGCTGGGGGGGTTAGTGGATTGTTTATGTGATCCCCTCTTATCGCGCCCCCCCCCCCCACTTATCTCCTCTCCCTGAACTTTATCTCCTCTTATCTCCTTGAGTGTGGTGAAAGGTTCACAGATCCTGGTGTCTGGCCCCCTGTCAGCCCTATTGACCCCTGACTCCATCCCCTTTCCCTACTCCTCCACCTGCCCCCCCCCCCAGCTTATCTTTCACTTTCTTAAAAGCCTGGGCCTTGTCTAAACTCTGTGTGGGATCCTGCCGTTTGCTTTGGTGTGGGGCTTGTTTGCCCAACCAGCACTCTAATTAATCTCCTCCAACAGTGTGTGAGTTCGCTCCGTTGGGGCAGCATCTGCTGGGACAAGGGCTCTGCTGGTCAGCGTCCCCCCCCCATCTCCACAGCATGAACCATGGAACTGGGGGGGGGGCATCTAGGCCCATACCCCGTAATTTTTGGAGTATTAACAATGCAGTGATGGACAAGCATGAAAAAAAATCACCTACAATAAAATCAATGCAGCAACCTGATAAAACATTATCATTAAAAGCCTGAATAGTCGTCAATCCATCAGTCCTATGCAGGGTCACGGGGTCCAAGAAGCTACGAGGGAACAGACCAGAGCGGGCCACCGACCCATCGCAGGGCACACACGCCCTTTGCACCTATGGATAGTTTCCAATCCACCTTAGCATGTTTTTGAGTTGGCTGGTGGGTGGAGGGGGGCGGAAGACGCAGAGGAAACCCAGCGATGACATGGGGAGTTAGGGCGGAGACTCGAACCCCAGTCCCAGAGGTGTGCAGCAGCACCAGGCCATCCCACTTCTCTGAGTTACCTATGTCAGCTTCAATGAATATGCCCCCAATCCTGCCTTGAAATGATGCCCCCCCCCCTTTGTAGATGTGCTCTATGACCCATTCTCCACTGGGCTATAGTCATTTTTTTCTTCCTTTTTCCACAATGTGTAAAAACAAAATTTATCTCCTTATATTGGAGCCCGATAAGAAATTATTATTTTTGTACTAGAGAGAAATCCCTGTGTTGTGTTTTTTTTTTTATTACTGTCTAGGGTGAATGAAAGGGTTAAAGCCGTATTTTCATAAATATAGGTGTCACGTGGCTCAGGAAATAACAGATATCCAAGGCTCGCATTAGCATAAAAATAAGAGCGTGTTATACAGTGAAATATCAATGAAGGAACACATAATGCATTTAATGAGATTCAGATGCAAGGACCATCTTCATGAATCTCATTAAGGAGGCTTTGTGGAGTTTTTTATTTTTTTAACACCACCCCTCACGCCCCCCTCCCCCCCCCGCGCCCCCACATGTACCCCCGAGTCTGCATATTTTCCTGTAATAATGTGTGGGATTTTGTGGTTTTCAGCGCTGCACTGTATACGCGTGTCATTATCTGCTGATAAGACCTCGCGCCGAGTCCCCTTTCCCAAGAAGGGTTAGGATACATGATAATGTGGGCACTGTTACATGAGATAAATGCAATCAGCAGACATGTTGCTCTTTTGTCAAATACAACACAGTGGTTTTTTTCCTCTCTTCACTCTTTATGGTAGAAAAAGTTCCTCTTAATGATATACCCCCCCCCCCTCCTCCCCCCGCTCTTCTCTCTGAACAGGATTCGGCTTCGTCACCTTCGAGAGCGAGGACGTCGTAGAAAAAGTCTGTGAAATTCACTTTCATGAAATCAATAATAAAATGGTAAGTTGGTTTCTCTTTCTACGAGGTTCCATCTGTGAGGATTAATATTTTAGGGCCTCTTTTGCAGAACAGGAATAATTGGCACTGGCGCGGGGGTTTGGATGGATGGTGGGGGGGGTGGCTATGTGTGTGTGTGTGTGTGTGTGTGTGTGCGCGTTTGTGGCATGGGTCGAAGGATTGAGATGGGGTAGCTTGATCTTGGAGCGCTTCCTGCTACCCAGGGCGTGAGGATGAGGAGCTGGTGGTGTGTACTGGCTACAAACCATGAAATTGTGTCTGTGACTCCCGGCTGCTGACGGAAGGGAAGGGAAGGGTGTGGGGGTCCGACAACCTGTCTTGTACCTCAACCATTATTCCCACCGTAAGTGGGGGCCAGGAATGATGGGAAGCTATTGAAGCAAGCATTCGTTTTCGGGAGGGCCTGGAACATTCCGGAAAGGAACCGATCCGAACCATTAGCCGGCCTTGTTCACTTAATGTGACACCTGCTACCTGAATAGAGCTTTGTGTCTGTGTCGTGCGTGTTGTAGTTTTGCCTGGTCACCCTGTGTGGGAGGCCTGTTGGGCTACGGGCTGGCTTGCATAGACCTGCCTGTTCAGGGGCTTTACTACGTCAGCCGGTTCTGTTAGCACGGCCTCCTCGCCCCCCTCCATTCAGTCACGGTGGGAGAAAGATGGCAGACAGCTGCCTTTTCCCTGGCTTTCATAGCAGAGGGAATTGGGGTCAAGTCCCAAGAACACTTCCTCTTGTACCCCCCACTCCAGGGGCTCCATGCTCCTTTGAGGAGACTTCCATGGGAAAATCCTCCCCAGAAGCCTGACCAATCAGCTGTCATTCACTGCCCCTTTAAAGCTGATGCATTCTGGGAGGTGAATCGTAAGTCGGGCAAGAGAACCTTAACATTACCCAGCCCCGGCCGCCTGGTCCTGCCCCGTGGAACCCCATGAACCTCTGGGGCGCAGTCAGCAGGCGGCTGCAGATGCACACGCAGACCACAATGCGATCGATTTTTATATGATATTGCATCAAACGCTCTCATTGTCCGGGGAGTGCCATGCGAGAGCTGTAATTTCTTTATTTTTTCGATCTTTTTCTGAGCGCCGTGAGTGCCAGCCATCGACTGCCTGGATTAAATTGGGCTGCAGGGGAATAAAGAACGTCGTTAGAATTGTGGGGGGGGTAGAGAGAGGGAAAATAGACACTTCAGGCATCGTGTCCTTTCTGGGCCTCCGCCTAAATAACGCCGGTGTTGTGATTTCATATTCTTCTCTGGCTATGACCGAAGAACTTATTAGGGCATTAGGAAAATGTATATAATCATCGGCAGCAGCATGATGAAAGGTGCCCACCCCCCAGTTTTATTTTTCTGATGGCAGTTTTGAATTCGGTTGCGACGGAGTTTCGTTTTGCCAAGAAGATCAAACAGACCTCTGAAGCATCATCTGCATACATATTTGACTTGCTAATTTTTAATTAACGGCAGTATTATTATTATTATTATTATTATTATTATTATATTTTGTCAATGCAGTAATGATGTTCTCCATTCCTGGAAACATCCAGGTGGTTGTTGTTTTTTTCCCCCTTCTCTTTCCCCCCATGCTACTGTCTCAGATAGCACCATATGTGACCGAAACCCCCCCCCACACACACACACACCAGAACTCAGTTTAAAATAAGCTGTGAATTGTTGCAGATGGGGGGCAGGTCTGGGAAGGTTCTGGCCTCCCCCTGTGCCGAGTTCTTACCTCCTGATTGCTGCATCTGATTTATTCCCCCTGCACTCAGACCAGAGCATGAAATGCTCCATATCTGCCCTAACCCCCCCCCCCCTCCTAATTCTGTTAGACCAGAGCCTCACCCTCCCTTGTAGGCTACTGCACGTCAACACCTGGGTCAGAAAATCACTGCGGAACAAAGAGGCAGGCAGGTGAACTGGGTTCGGGGAGAGACAAGGATTCGTTAGGAACGAAGATGGATTCCTAGAGTATGAATCAGAACAATGCAGTCACACCGTGAATGTGAAGCCGTCCTTTTAATTCTCTCATTTTTTCCTCTTTCCCATCTACTTGTTACGATGAAAGGACCAGTACAGTTTTTTTCCCTCCCTTTGTCTCATTCTTTTCTTCCCCCAAAGTTTTTAATTTATGCTGCAAAGCGTGGAGACGCTGCACTGTTCATCTGCACTTCTTGCTTCCTTCTGGGGTATGTGCTTTAACATGGCCATCACTGCCCTGAGCTCCTGCTTATTTTACCGATTAAACATGGCCATCACTGCTCTGAGCTCCTGGGTATTTTACTGATTAAACATGGCCGTCATAACCTCACGTACTTGGGTGTTTTTCTGCTTTAACTTGCCCATCACTGTAACACAGCCATCACTTTTCCATGTTCCTGGGTATTTTCCTGCTGTAACACAGCTGTCACTATCCCACATTCCTGGGTATTTTCCCTCTTTAACACAGCTGTCACT